TAATTGGTTACTAAGAGGTTATTAGGACGCCTTGTATATATAGTGATAAGGCTTCCTATCTAACGGACAAAAAGAGTTAGCAAACCTCATCTTACAGGAATGGTAACCATTGGATTTTGTGGTTCTTGGCATTACAAAATCAATGGCCACTGAATTTTAACCCCTCACTCGTCCTTATCTCAAACTTCCCATACTGACAAACAAGATATGTTTTTTTTTTCTTTTTTAAAAAATACTTGCAATTTTTTTGTTGCTTTTGCTTTTTCTTTCTGACGAGTTTTTCATTTTTAAAAATAATATCACAAGGTATGTTTGGTATAACTGAAAATATTAACTAAAAAAATAAGGAAAATACTTCCTTTCCATATTGATTGTCGAACACAACCCACCCTGATACCCAGAGTGTTGAGTAAAAATATGTATAAATGTTTTTGTCATAATATTTTTTGATTAATTACATGAAAAAACACACCCTAACACGAAAATAAAGTCTGCAACCCCTGTATTTTGTTTCTTTCTCGTTTGGTTTTGGGCATAGAGTAATTTCTGCGCCATATATTTGAACTGTTAATTCTACAAAGGGAAACTTGGTGAGTAGTACTTTGGGGAAAACTGTTTATGAATGATACTTCACCTTAACTTAGAAGGAATCAACAAGTATGGTACAAACTTATATTTGGCTGAAATAATCCAACGCCAATTCTGGATTTTCTCAGATAATTATTATATCAATGCATTTTATAGACATATTGCTTTAGATCCATCGAAAACAGTCTCTCCACCTTTACAAAATAGGAATAAAGTTGTGTATACACTTATGTATAGTTATACTTCCTTATATGAAATACATAGTACAAAAGTTTGATGAGCCCATTTCTGATAATTCTTACTTTATAGAGTATTGTTAACCTGGAAAGGATAATTACATATGAAGTATTTAGTGTATTAATGTCATTTCACTGATTATTGCAGGTTACTTCACATCTTCCATTTTACCTATGCTATGAAGCAACTTATCTCTAATTGAATTTCATTCCAAAGATGTGATTTTAGAGCTCGATGGGAACTTTGGTTTCTGGACCTGTGCAAGTCTCAATTCCAAGTATACCCTCAGTGCGAACTTTGCTTTCTGGACCATTGGAAGTCATAATTCCTATCTGTCTAAGACAGAGAGATTAATTTCAAATCAACGATTTATTGACCTAAGAATTTGTTACTCCTAAGGCAACTCAAGTCATCAATCAATCAAATAAGTCTTGTACATGTATCCATTTCACTCTACTTGGATGTTGTACATAGTATGGTGTATATAAACTATATATACCCAAAAGAAGAAAGACAAGTACTACATTTTCCAACAGAAGGAGTCGTTTGTTAAGGATATATCAATTTCATAATCTTAAGGGGAAATTCAAGTTTAGCTAGAGTAGTCCAGAGGAGGAGGGGTTGATGTACTCTTTTGTCGAGCTTATGCAGGCAATTGCATAGAGAATGGAAGATATTACTTGGATAAATTATAAGAAACTGATATACATACATTACAAGTTTCAGAAGCAGATTAGTATTAAAACAAATGCCATTAATTCAAAAGATGAAGGGAACACAACAAAGTAAAATTACTACAGTTTCTCCAGAGAAAAACTTTAAGGAGGATTCAAACAAGCTTCCCCTAAATACATAGGGTCAGTTATACATTACATAATTAAAAATTGGCATTTTAGTATCCTTCGGGCTTGTAAGCGATGAAACTGATGCACTGCACTTGACGAACATTGTCGAATCCGATGATACGGACCCATGCCTGAGGGTAAGCCTTCTTTGCCTCCTGCACCTCAGCCAAGACCTGGGTTGCATCAGTGCACCCAAACATGGGCAACTTCCACATGGTCCAGTATCTGCCATCGTAGTATCCTGGTGACTTATGGTTCTCACGGTACACAAATCCGTGCTGCACATGATATCCCACAACACTATTAACACAACATATCAACACACTAGCTAATATATAAATTTTAAAAACAGAGGTTAACCTCAGTCTCGAATTCCAAGCAAGGAACCCATCCATTTTTCAATAGGTACTCAATTTCGCTGAGCAATTGCTCGTCGGACAAATCAGGAAGGTACGACAGAGTCTCGTACTTCTTCATGTTAATTGGTGGCCACACCTATACAATTATAAATAGTTAAATTAGCTAATCGAGTATAGCATTATAGTCAATGAATTTTGTTGTACATATATATATATACACACACAAACCTGCATGCAACTGACTCTTCCACCGTTGCTAGCAATGGAGGTAATGTCAAGGTTTTGCTTCCTTGAAACAGGGAAAGAAGCAGTGGACTTGAGTCCAGTGAAGGGTGCAACCATGCTAGCTTGTGCACCATTGCCGCGGGTGGCAACAGCAGCTGAAGAAACTATAGAGGAAGCCATTGTTGACAATAATTGGTCTCTAGTATCCCCTTGTATATATAATGATGATAAGGTTTCACCTAAAGCAATAACCTCATCTAAGAGCAACCATAACCATTGGATTATGTGGCTCTTGACATTTCAAAATTAATAGCCTCTGAAATTACACACTCCTTATCTTAAAGTTCCCAAACTAATGAATAGGACATGTTTTATTCAATATTTTTTTAAAAATACAGTTTAAAAAAGAAAAAAAAATTGATGAAAAAACTCATAGAGGTATGTGTCTTTGACAATTTCTTCAATTGAAAAGATTTAATATAGATGACTATATTGTTTGGGATTTTTGTTACTTGATAGGTTGTTCAAATCTTTTCTTCAGTTTTGGCAAAACTTCGCTTGAGATATTTAGGTGAATTGTGTAAAGATGATGCCAGATGTGGTCATTATGCTACATAATTTATAGATATAATATACCTTTTTTAGCATACAAGACAAACAAAAGAGGAAAAGAAAGACTATAAACTAATTAGAATTTTTATAATATCAAATTAAATGATGACTTAAGCCACCTTACTACAGCAAATTTCTGTTATTGTCTCCTCCCATTTAGGCTGTTTTGATACTCATTAATCCCTTTTTCGTAATTTATAACATTTACTTTAAAAAATATCTGTTAAAAAATAAAATGACATATTTTTTAATTTAACAAATATTTAGTAATAATATCAATGTTTTGCTAATATTGGATTTCATTTATTTGATAAAAAGTTCATAAAAGGGTACTTTTATTTTTTAAAGATTATTTTTGGAACTTTATTGATACAAAAATTGTACAAATTCTTTATACATCAATAATAATAACACATTATTTCCCATCTTGTATTCCTTTTAAGCAATTATAAGAAGTATCCATTAACATCCAATTTTGTATCACTTATTCTCTAATTTATTTCTTTACGCTTTTTAGTTATTAATAATTTATTCTGAATCATTATTATAATTTTTTACTATTTTTCGTATATGGTAGCGCTATTATTTTTTCTCTATATAGTTGCGTTGATTATCCATATTACTCCATTTTGTTGCCATTTAATCATCCTTGTTTAATTTCATTATTAGAATTATTACTTTCAACTCATATTCTGAAGTCCAAAGAAATTATTTCCTCAAAGGAAAATGCCTTTAAAATTGGCTGCCCAGAAAATATGTTGAGCCCATATCTATTTTGTAACCATTTATGGCCCATCTTCTCTACCCGCAATTGCCATTTTAACCCATTTTTCGACCCGCAATTGCCAAACACTATTTTCCAATTCTTCTTCCGTTCCTACAACGCTAATTGCCCAAAGTATTGTTGTGCATTCTCTCTTTTCCACTCACTAATTTGCAGATACCTACAACAGGTTACATCTTCAATCTTTTTTCTGTAATTAGGGCTACTTTCAGATTTTAATTTTTTTTTTGTGTGAACTCAATTGTGTATGTTGTAGTCAAATTTTTTTTGTGTTATGTTGCCAGTACCTGTTGATTACATTTTGTTAGGAGAAGTTCCGGTGAAGAGTAAATTGTTCTTTTTATAGTGTTGCTGTCTTCTAATTTATCTATTTTCTCTGTTCTATACTGTTTTGGTTATGCTTTTTCCAAATTGATTATGCTTGAATTCTGATTAAACTGAATGGAATAAGCATGTGGGTTCTCCCATTCTTCCACATGGAGCTCTTTCATTACGCGCCCAAATGGAAAAAGAGAAGTTCTTTTTTTTTTTGATTTTGTTCATCTTTATTCCTGTCGTGCATTGCTGTAGAAAGTATTGAATCAGCTGGAATATATTCCAATCATGTAGTATCTGGCATACCCCCACTTTGTGAGATTTCTCGGGTATGTTGTATGTTGTTGTTGCTGTTGTAGTATCTCTCATACCAGAAGATGCGCACCACTTCTGTTCTCTGGCTATTGTGTTTGATAGCATTCTTAAGAAAAGCAAGACTTTCTGTTTGGATGTTACTGACCTTCTTAACAAGTTTATTTTTAACTTGGACCATTTTTCACTTCATGTTGATCTACATGCGTTTCTCGTGTGAAGTATATGATGAAGTACGATTTCTCTAAAGTCTTGTTTCTCTTTCTGTACCAGTCAAGTCGAGGTTTCAGATGAATGCTAATATTCGAAAGTTCCGAAATCTTTCAACTGCTTTGGATCATAGTTTCAAGTCAAGATGGCTCTTGCATCACTATTGCCTCCTGCACCATGGTCCAGACACTATGGAGGAACTATTGGATAGACATGTGGTCAAAAAGGAGAAGAACCTTGATGATGACGAGAACGAGCTCCTAAATAGACAACGACTCACTAGCAGTCGACGCGAGGCTCTAAGTCTCTACCGAGATGTCATCCGCGCAACCCGCTTCTTCATGTGGGCCAACTCTCAAGGCATTCCCTGGCGGGATGTTCTTAGAGAAAATGTCCGAAAAGAGTTCGAGGAGGCACAATTTGAGAGAGATCCAGAGGTCATCACCAGGTTGCTTATTGGAGGTCGGGATGCTCTGGAAGCTGCTTTGGATAAACTTGCTGAGAAACAAAAGCAAGAAATTGAAAAGCAACGCGGCAATTCAAATGCTCCTTGATATTCTGGTTAGTCGAATTTTTTTCTATTAACTAACACCCATCAAATAACAGGTTTTTTTAGAACAGTATCTATACGATATATTACCACATACAGGATGACGTTAACTTCAGTTTCTTTTAGCATCGAGTATTTTTACATTTATTCTTCAGATAAGTTTGTTCTTGGAACTGAATTCTTAGATAAGATTGTTATTGAAACTGGTTGGGTGATTGCTTGATCTGAAGTAGGGTTCAAGTTTAAAGGCTGATTGGTTGACTTTTATAATACATACTTAAAATCTGTAATACAGACAGACTTTTGTCCAGTGGGACTCAAATGAATAAAGTGTGGCTGATTTTGCAGGAACATTACAATTAGCCGAACTTCTTTGTGTTGGATAAAATGCACAACAGGAAACACTAATAAGTTTGTGTCCCTTATAAAAGATCGATGGATGGCCATATTAATCAATCAGGAAAAAGTAGAAAGCTAACAATTTGACATGTTGTGTGTCTTCTTTGCGCTACAATATCATGGATTTGTTTGAATGATAGTAATTTGCAGTTCATAATGGTTATGATTTATCTTCTTATCATAAGTTTGGAAGTTGAAAATATTGTCATTATTGTTAGGCATGTTTATTTGATGATTGTACGTCTTTTTTGCAATCAAACTTAATAGCATCTATTATGCATTACTAGTACTTTTCAGTGCATAGTTTGAATTGTAAATGTAGGTTGACAAGCGGAAAAAGAAGCTTTATTTTTGGAGTAAATAGCTTTCATTGTGTAGAATTAGAAGTAGATCAATGAGATGGAGAATTAAAACCATGTTCATGAGCTCGCAAAGTTTGGTATTGCTCACAATTGAAAACTCATCACCGTCCTTGATAATGGTGGGGTGGAGGTCGTGGAAAATATTATTGTTTGAAGCTTATTTATGTCATTTCCACAATCAAAGTACTAGTAGGCTGGGTTACATCACAATCCTGATGTGATATTTAAGTCACTCCCTTCTTTCTCAATTGTTGATTGATATTCAGCTATGCTGATTGTGCAGGTGTTATGAAATGTATAGTGATAGTTCAAGAACCATAACAAGTGAATCTCTTCTGCCAACCCAAATTCTCCAAGCGTAACTCGCTTCCCAGTTCCCACCACTCTGAATGAACACATTGTCGTGATGTCTCGATGGACGATCTTAGGGCTCTGACAATGAAGAAAGTTCAAACCTTCCAGACTCTGCCTGCCTCTGACAATGAAGAAAATTCAAATCTTCAAGAATCTTCCTGCCCCAATTTTTGTTACTCGCCAAATCAATAGCAACGCCATTATCGTACTTTGACCAATACTTTTTCAAGCTGCCTGAGGGGAATGACTCTGTGATCATGTAGAGAGTTTTGGACTTGGGACCGAACTAATAAGAGAAGCATTTCATAACCTTTTCATGGTTAAACAACTTCAACAGAATAGCTTCAGCGAAGAATTTGTCAGTTTCTTTTTTTAATGCTTCATCATATTCTCTGCAAAAAACATTTGTTTCCCACTCAATTTCAATTTCCTCTCGTGGGATTTCACACAATATGTTGTTGTAGTAGTTATACCAATGTACACTTCTTTGGAACCAATGCATGCTATTTTTTTATTATTATTTTTGTTGAGAATTTATACCACTAGATAGATGTCTACTCGTCTTTTATTAATAGTTTAAATAAATATCCTCAACAGGGAAAAGTACAAGAAAGTTAGGATGAACACTCTCAAACTGTGGGATAGTAATGGATATGCTTCTTTAAAAAACGTACTAAAAATGTCCTGCTATTCTTTCCAACTATAGACAGAAACTTTAAGAGATGAAATCAATTTGCGAACCCTGCACTGTCTCGTGTAAATAATCGTATAATTAAAATATGACTACAATAGCAACAAATTAAAATTGGTCTATTTCTAAGCAGCGCATACAATGAGGCCATTGCCATGGAGTATGGCTGGAGTGAAGTAATCTAAAGCCAAATCCAAGTTTGTGGTGCTAGCTAGCTGATAGAATATGATAGAATCGATAATTCATGTTTTGATGATAGACAAGAAGCACAAATAATCAATAGCAAATGTACGCAGCAAAAGAAGCCAAGATCGAGTAAAATGAAATGGATTAGCCAAGTAATCAAGAAAATAGAGTTATTTGTCAAAGCCAAAAATAATATATTAAAGGTATAAGTTGATACAAATAAGGAAAACCTTAAATATATTATTAAGGAAGGAAGTTGTATATAATAAGGATTGTACTTTAAAAGGGAATCCTTGTTTAATAATAACTTCCTTACCTTATCTGAGGACTGAAGGCAAAAGGAACTCTATAAGAAGAAAAAGACGCGTATGAAGAATACGACGACTTCACGCAGAGAACAAGGGAGAATTATTCATCAAATTGAAGTCTTCAAGGTTGATAGGATTACTACGTGGGTTTGACTCTTTGTAGGGTTGAGTCTTAGTAAGAGTTGTAACAAAAGGTGGGTTTGGCCTTTTGGAGAGATCGATTGGAGTCAATCGAGGGAGTAGTAGAGATAAGACTTTTGATTATTGAGTTGTAATCACAAAATCTTATAGTTGAATTAATAAAACAAGGTTTTTCCTTCCTTGAGTGAGGAAGGTTTTTAATTCAATAAGTGTTTGTATCTTTACT